GAGACGAGAGAGTCTGGTGAGTCCTGGGCAGATTTCCGGACGAGTAAGTCCTGGGCAGAGTCTTGGACGAGGCAGTTTGCCTCGTGGCGTTCTCGATGTGGCTAAAGACTAGCTATAGATTCGTATTCCGTTGTGTGTGTCTATTTGACTGTAAGGTTTAAGTGACTTTTCCGATCCCGTACCTCAAGCGGACGTGTATAGAGAGACAAGACGAAATCCCCCATGACAGTGGAGTGTTCCCTGTAGCATCGATCAAGTCCCAAGTTTTATTTGTTTTACTGTATATCATCACTCTTTGCTGGTCCCAGTGACTAGCAACCCGTAATATTTGTTTATTTAAGGGAAGACAATTTTATATATTTTTTGATGTATTGTATTCGTTACCGGTATATTTCCTGCCTTGCACTGCCTCAGTTGTTGTGATATACTTTCAATAAACGTTCCCCGCCAGGTGACAGGGGACGAGCTGAAGGGAGAATACTTATAAGATAAGCACGCTACCAAAGACCTGTATTCAAGACATGCTCCCAGCTCCTGGATACGGAGTAGCCCTACATATGCCCCTGCCCATATTTTACATCACAATACTATACGTTTGTCATGCTTTCTACTCATGTATTAATTGACTGAATTTATAAGGATCCATTGACGGGTCAGTCGTAAATCAAAAGAGCAGCGAAATGAACAAGTGAACCTTCAAACATGACAATAACAAGTGTATTTACACAAATCAAACACCTGATATGCCAGGTTGCATGACATAAATAATGCATTGCAGTGTTATAATGACTCTTTAAGAATTGTATTTTATCTAACTATTCAGCACAGTTGTGTTTTTCGTGTCATACAGGTGAATTGAACAATGAAAGTTCAACTAAATATTACAGTATATGCATATTGGAGGTAGGTGTCGGCGTTATGAACCATTTTATTTTTAATAAATCATCACATAATTACTTTGAACAAGACTTTTCGTGTTACGTCATTGGAATCGTGATTTTCATAGCCAAACTTAATCTTGATTGGTTAATCCATTCCCAGTACACTGTTTTTTTTATCAGAATTTACAACCTAGAAGCTTGATATTTCGCCTAGATGGAGACGTTAACAACTTGAGTGTTAGCGAAGAGGACAAGGTAACGATTTACACGTACACATATTTTAATTCTCTGTTGCTTGAATTATACGTCTTAAAGCAGTATACTTTCTGATTCACAAATATTGAACTAATTAGACATAGGATTATCTAAATTATTAAAACCTTCTAAATCACTAATCATTAACTAATCAGACATATAAGTATCGAGTCATAAATCTCTTTATCCTTTGATACATAAACGGTTTATAGATATATATATTATTAAATCTCATATGTCTGTATCTTCTGATTCTCAAATCAATAATTCATTGAAAACAGTTTTATTAGATACGAAGTATTTGTTTTCCCGTGTCTACGTTTTCTGTTTACGAACCACAAACTAATTGAAACCTATAAATCAAACAAAACATCTTTTCAGGTTGCACATTTTTTCTGTGATACGAACAAACCAGAAATATATATCTCAACATTTCTCAACTTTGATGAAAAACACGAATATATTCTTCACTTGCAATGGAATACTGTAAGTAATATTCGCTATATAAGTTCATTATGTTAAAATCCTAGTTAATGTGATTGTTCACATAAATGAAATGATGTTTGAAGCGATAAATTCATTAATACACTGAACATGACTACCTGGATTTGTATGTATGTATGTTGTTGTATGTGACGTTAGAGATTCAGCTTGTGCATGTAGCGTAATGAGGTGTGAGTCTTCTTATAGTAGTATGACGCTTTGCCGCGCTCGTGAGTTTGAATGTCGTGATTAATTTAATTGTACACATAATGTTTATTTTAGGCAAATTTCACTAATTTTGGTGTACTCAATGTGATGGTCGAAGACGTTGCTGATTGGCCACCAGTGTTTAATGAAAGCTGTGCGTTTCAAGATTTGAAGGCAAGGACGGAAAACGATCTAGTAAGTAATATATAAACATCTTACTAATTGAAAGTGCATCAAACCAAAATGTGATGTATTCAATTGGTTTCTAAACATACACATTGTTCATGCATTTAACACAAGCTCACAAAACGTTTGATATTAGATTTTAATACGTTTGATATTAACATTCCGAGTGGCTCCCCTACTCGGATAATGATTATTCACACTATATTGTGAACACAGCTGTGTCCAGAGAATGACGAATCGCAATGAAAAGTGTATTTTTCTCATGATCGCCCTACACTCTTTGATATAAATTACTTTATATTGTGATATTATCAATGGTCACAGCTTGCTTATTGAGAACCCCCAGCTTTAGTCTGCTTAATTGTAAGGATCGGGATTACTTTTTCCGAAATATAGATTGATTTGTTGAAATAGTTGGAGGGCATTGGAGAGAAATCCATTGTTTGTGGTAATGATTTTAATTTCACAGCTCGCGTTTACACGCACCGTATAAGATAAACTATTGATTACTTGTTTGATATCTCAGATATTTTGAAAGTCCAATTACTAAGTATGTGGCGTTTTACTTAGGTGACCAAGGCCAAATATTATATGTAGGCTAGATTGCTGGCTTTTGTCACACTCTTGCAGATTTTATTTTAACGTCCATTGCCCTATCAATTATTTTACTCATGTTACAAGTATATTTTGTTCAAGTGGGATTGATGTTTTCCTTTAAGGAATGCTACTACAGCAATGCATTAACATTGATTTATATAACTCAATTTTAAAATCAATTTTAGTCACATTGACGTGATTGAACGCAAACGTGGAACACACTTTTTG